CCAAAAAACGCTATTGGGCTCAAGCAAAGGGGTTGGATTCGGTCCACATCACTAACAAAAAAACCAGGATCCAATACCTCTAACTACTGATCATCTTGCTTATTGTTTATCTCGTTTTTGATAATACGCCGCCACAACCGCCATACTCACCATCCAAGACCATCGATTGACACCAAAAACAGCCTCACTTCAATCTCATCTTTTTCAAACCTCCACTTTATTTGTGTGAATTCGAACACCACTCACCTAAATCTAATGGGAACCAAAACCCTAACTGATCACAAATCGAAATGAAACAGAGATGGTGCATGAGATCGAATCACATGCCTAGGGCTTTCATTCAGCAGCATACAAACTATACAATGGCACGAAGATCAGTGCAAGAAGATGAAGAAGGCGGATTACCTACCATAGAAAGTCCGATGCCTCTTCAACAGTGACGAAATGATCAGAAGACCAGAGGTATCTTCAGGTAACATCTCTTGTTCCCTTCATTCTTTTCTATTTCTGTTCTCTGCTCCCTTTTGGCCTTCTGCGTTCTACTTCTTCTCCTACTTTTCCTTTCTTGTTGTGCTTTTGTTTGATGCATTTTTAAATTATGTGTGCGTGGTTCTTGTGAAGGAGAATTCTAAGGGACTACGCGTAGCAGTAAGACAGTGATGGATTGATGGCTGAGCTCGACTGTTTAGAGCTCCAGAGGTTGAAGCTCTAACAGCTATGGAGGTGAGTTTTTTTGGTGAGAGGTGAGGGATGTGGATTGAGGAAGTTAAGTTTCAGAGGGAGAGAGTGAAGAAGATGATTAATTCGGAGAGGGGATTGGAGAGAACGTGAAGAAAATGGTGTGTGTGAAACTGATGAAAAGAAATGGAGATGGTGGTTGAGAGAGATGAATTGAAGAAGAGAGAAACAGAAGGTGTCTAGGGATGAGAGAGTTCTATGATTTTTATAGAAATGAGTGTTGTGGAGGAAAAAAGGCCAGTCCTGAGATTGGAGGTGATGAAGAGGTTATATAGTTGAAGCAGTTGGAAATTCAGTTGGAGCTTGATTGGTTTTGGGCCATTGGACGATTATAGTTTGTTAGAAGATCAATGGTAGGTATGGATTAGTTATGGTTAGTCTGACACTGTTATCTGCTATATCCTTTTTTCCTGTTCTGAATCATGTTGAGAAGTTGTTAGGAGTTATTAGAAATTTGTTACAGCAGTTAGAAATTTGCTGGTTCTGTTATGAAGGTGGTTAGAAGTTGGTTGGACTTGTTTGTGATTCTGTTTTGACAGTTGGGAAATTTTTCTGTTAGGGAATGTTTTGGGAGTTTGTTGGGATCTGTTAGTTTTCTATTATAGGGGTGGTTAGTTAGTTAGAGATTGGTTAGGTTGGTTAGAAGTTGGAGAAGTTAGTTACTTCCTATTACAGATAGGTTGAGAATCTGTTAGAGGGTTTCAACTAGAGGGGTTGCGGACAAGGCTGGGTTCTGCTGGAAATTTGGGTGAAAATTGGTTGGTTGTTGGTTATGAAAGTTAGGAGTAGAAATGTTTTGCAAGTCTGTTAGAAATCCTGTTTGAGTTTATTCTGGTTTCAGATTCTGTTAGTGAGAGTTTGCAGGGTTATAGTTTTTTCTGTCATGGTTCAGTTAGGAAATGTTTTGGAATACTATTAGGACAATATGCAAAGCTGTTAGAAGGTTATTGTATTGTTGGCTGGAAAATCAGTTAGGTGGTTATAGTTTAGTTGGAAACTGTTTAGAGAGGTTTTTGAATTTAGAATTCTGTTAGGCTGTTAGGGATGTTATAGTTGGTTAGACTTGTTAGAAAGTTGGTTAATATATGGTTTAAAGTTCGAGAAGTTTGTTACATTCTGTTATAGATTGTCTGTTAGCAGGGTAGTTAAATTGTAGTTTAGGTATCTTTAACAGTTTGCAGGGCTACTCTTCTGATTTTTGTAATTAGTTGATGAGTGGGTATGGGTTAGTAGAAACCTGAAGTTTAAGTGTTTGACAAAATGTCGAAATGACTTGGACCTGAGGAACACCATGACGCTTGCGTTTGGTGTATTTTGTACACATACGATTAGTGATAATGATGAATGATGTTGGACTATAAATATAAAACACATGGATGATTGCCCCTGTACTGAAATGTGATGCCTATTTTTTACTTATGCTTATGCATGTCTGATTGAAGTATGCTGAACTGAAGTAGCGTATTCAACATTTTATACTGGACTTGTTGCATGTATTATGAACTGATGTCATTCTTGGTTAGGCAGGTTGATGCAATGTCATGGTGATATTCTTGTAATAGTAAGGTGACTTGATGTGTGCATGAACATGTCAGTTGTATGCTATATTTTTAGATTTTATGATTATGATAATGAATGTGTGTGGCGCAGGTTCAGTGGTGCAGCTTGGCATGGTGCATGAAAAGGTGTATTGAAGATGTTTTTAACAACAAGTTTGGTCATAGATGATGCGGATATCACATATAAACATGGTGAAGAAATTCAAGACACAGGGGCATCAAGCATGAAGATTACTTTGAGATGTTATAAAGTTCATAAATCCATAAACTTAGAATTCTTATGTTTTAGGACCAAATTCGTACTGTGATGTTTAGAACTTTGTATTCTTGTAATTTTGAATGAGGTTGAACGAACTTTGATGGAACTTGTACAATATGATTGAATATCTTTGAATTTGATGAAATTTCCCCCATGTTATTTCTTTTCAAATGATTTCCACGTAGTATCCACGCTATTCTGAATACTTAGCTTAAGTCCCTGAAACAAACATTGATGGAAGAATTGGGAATAAATCCCTAATTTGATGGATGATAAATGAATGATGCTTCCATACTTTTTGCGCAAAGATCTTGACTCATACACCTTTAATTGATGAAAGTTAGATACACCTAGTTTTGATCACTTAATAAGCATAACCATAAAAAGATAAAATTTGATCCTCAAGCCTCAAAAGAATCCTCAAATGAATGACCCATCCCTGATTCCATGATTCTTGACTAATGCTGATGGAAATATAGTCCTATAATTTGAGGAGGCTCCAAATCAATAATTCCATTCCATGGTCAAATAGAAACTACATTTGAATCATGCTCAATTGATACGCCCATCTCTAACCATATGGAAACCCTAATCTTAAGCCTTGAAGAAAGATTGCAACTTGATGTTGAGAAGAAAGAATATCCTTATAGTTTGACGATAAAGTAGTCCAGGAAATAAAACCATAGCTTCAAACAAACGATTGATGGAAACCAGTTGATTCAAGCTTGAATGAAGATGAGAACCTTGAATCCAAACAATAACCCTAATTCTTCAACATCCTTGATCCCGTGCTAAATTTACTGATCGATGATGCATGATGTGTTAAATGACCTACTGGAGGTTATGTACGAAAGGAAAATGTGAGATGTGTAAGCCAGATAAAAGTAAAAGGGTAGGATAAATTTGGGGTATTACAAGTATCCTCTATGGTGACAAGAGAATTGTCACCACCTCATCAAAATCCACTTCACGATCATATCAACCTATATTTGATTCTCTATTTTAGTATGTAATATAAGTCTCGTGTCTTTAATAAATAAACATATCATAAACAAGACCGTCTTTGAGGGCGTGCAAAACGGACTATCGCACATGGTTTAAAATATATAGGACCTTATACTATCTTTGTTAATGTTAAAACATGATTAAATAGATTCTCTAATTATTGTCATGGTTGAATTGTGACTAGCCTACATAAGACTTCTAAAAACTTAAGACAATTCAAACGACTTAGATCATAAATTTTAAATGTAAAAATATAAGAGAAATAAAACTATTTAAATTCATAAAAAAATAATTCAGTGAATGAATTATGATAGTAGATGAAGTGTTTGAATTGACGGTTGTTAGAATTAATTTTAATAAAATTTTGAGTATAATTTATTTATAATTAGATGCTGATTTGGAGTGGACCAACGCTTGCCCCACTGTTGGGGAGGCTCAATCCACACCTTTGCATAAGGCCTAAAGGCATGCAGCCCAAGTTGGGGACCGTTGGGTAACTCTCCACATGTTCATTGGAGAACGTAGTCCACGTGTCCATATCATCGTCATCATCCTGCCCTCCGAGAATAATGGGTCCAACTCTTGCTTTCTCGGGGCAGTTGACCAGAAGAGAGGCCACGTGCTGGACTTCATACACACATAAGCCCTGACAGTCTTCATTGTTGGACCTCATTGTGGCCCAACGTTGGAGACCTTGACCCAACACTGGGGACTATAAATACCCTCTCACTTGAGAGAGTCAGATATTGAATCATTCACACTCTCATACTCTCTTACTTGCAATAAACTCTGAACCTCACTTTGACATTGAAGTGTCTTGCAGATATCCCCCACTTCACCTTCAACTGTTGCTCAACTCATAGCTTGTGGGTTTTGACAATCTATTCTAGTCAGATATGATCAGATACATTTATATAAAAATGATTTGAACAATAAATTTCAACATAAGATTATAAATTTTAAAGACAAAAATTATATAAATTTTAATTTTAAATATAATCAATTCTAAAAAAAATCAAACGTCAATCAATTATAAGTTTTAGAATTAATTGGGCATCTTCCAAAAGTGGATCAAGATAAGTGTAATTAAATAAAACATTTAGAATGGAAGAAGTTAGTACGAAAAAAGTGTGCGATATGACAAACCGCAAAGACAGAAAGCACACAGGTGGATAGAAAAAAGGAACTCAAAAAGGAAGAAAGAGAAAGATCTTGTAAATACCACAAACCAAATATGTGGCTCAAATTCCATCTCTCTTCTGATGTGGCACTCCAAACCTTCCTCAACGGATCAACAACAATCAACCACACTCTCACACTTCTTCACAATCTCTCTCCTCTCTCTCTACAACCACTTTTACAGTTTTTACTTTTTTCCTCTTTCTAGACAAAACAACCTTTTTATCTCTTTTTAGCAATAACCACAAAAAAACACAGAAATGTTGGAGACAAAAGACTCTGCGATCAAACTCTTCGGAAAAACAATTCCGGTTAAGGAGATTCTTGTCGGTCTTTCACCTTTGTCTTCTGCTCATGTTGTTGTTCATCACAGTATTCATGATTCTTCTACAAACTCATCTAGAGACTCTCATAATACTATTGATGCAAAAGAGCAAGAGATTCCGCAGGTATATATAAAAAAAATGAGAACTTTTATTTTTCGGATTCAGAAATTTTTTGTTTTGATTATGACCCTTTATTTGGAACCAAAAAATATTTAATGAGATGGTGTTAGTTTTGCTTGATGATGAAGATTAGCTTATTTTTATATGAAATTAATTGATTATGATCAAAAGCTTTGAGAAAATAGATTATAGTTTGATGGAAAGACAGTGATTTCATCAAACTCACTGTGATTACAAACATAAACTAATCTGATCTGTACTTTTGGTTTTTCCTTCTATCTTTCTGATTCTTCTGGTGAAAAAAAATTGCTTTTTTCTATTTGACGGGTTTTCTATGAAATTTTTGTAATCTACTCTTTTTTTTTTTAATTTTTTTTATCTACACTTATTTGTAATTGATGTTCTGTTAACCTATATAGTACTAACAATTCAGATGGAAGGCGTATTCAACCCCGACACATGTAGTTACATACAATCACTTTTATTTGATCAAATTATTACTAGTTTTGATGTGATAGAGTATTTTATTTGATCAAAATATTACTAGTTTTGATGTGATAGAGTATCTGTATCCGGTGTTGTCTCTGTCAGTGTTTCAGATTGAAGGTGTTTCTGACACAATCCATTTGCTTACATTCAATCACTTTTATTTTATCGAATTATATTAGTCTTGATGTGTCAAAGAACATGTATAATATATGGTGTCTATGTGTCAGCGTTTCAGATTAAAGGTGCATCTGATACGATACATTAGTTACTTTCAATCACTTTTATTATAACAAATTATTATTAGTCTTGATTTGTTAGAACATCAGAATCGTATCTGGTGTTTATGTAAGTGCTTCAGATTGAAGGTGTATCTGACACAAAACATATGGTTATATTCATCGGTTTTATTTTATCAAATTATTACTAGTCTTGATGTGTCAGAGCATCTGTATCTGCTCTGTATTGTATCTGGTGTCTGTTTCTGTGTTTCATAGTGATAAAACGGGATCTTGGCCGTTGTGATATTTTGTTCATGATATAAATGTGGTGCTTATGCTAAATATTTAGTGCATGGCAAAATACTAAGCAGTGGTTTTTATGATTCCAGGATACATTGGGAGAAAAATCGACTGATGAAAAGAATGGAGATGGAGCCCCTACGCAATCGACTGAAGAATTCACCAATCCAGATGCAGCCTCTAGGACTGGCGAAGAATCCGTTACTGCATCCACTGAAAAAGAGGTTGCTACATTGAAAACTTCGAAGACCGAAGAAGAACAGGACGAAACGAGTAACTCACAGGAAAAGAGCCTCAAAAAACCCGACAAAATAATCCCGTGTCCGCGCTGTAGTAGCATGGACACAAAGTTCTGCTACTATAACAATTACAATGTCAACCAACCTCGCCACTTTTGCAAGAATTGTCAGAGATATTGGACTGCCGGTGGAACCATGAGAAACGTACCCGTAGGTGCTGGTCGCAGAAGGAACAAGAGCTGTTCTTCTCACTACCGACAGATAACTGTCTCCGAAGCAACACTCCAAAACTCTCGGGTACACCCTTCCTTGAAATGCAACGGCACTGTCCTTACATTTGGATCCGATTCACCTTTATCTGAATCGATGGCATCTGTTTTGAAACTTGCTCATAAACCTGAAGAACTAAGAATTCGTGTTCCGTATGCAAGTGGAGAAAAAGGAGACGATCAATCCAATAAATCATCGGTTACATCCGTAAAGTCGACTGAAGGTGCAAGCACGAACATATCCCAAGAACAGGCTATGCAGTATGGACAAAGCTTCTCACCACAAGGTCACTACTTTCCTCCTGGAACTCCTTGTCCTTTCCCATGGAATCCAATGCAATGGAGGTCACCGGTTCCACCACATGCGTTTTATCCACCGGGATTTTCTTTGCCGTTCTATCCCCCAACCCCAACTGCAACAACTTACTGGGGATGGAACGTCCCGCGGCAAGCACAACCGTCATCACCGAATGGTGCCGGCCCTAACTCTAGTGCAAACTCTCTAACCTTAGGCAAACATTCAAGGGATGATAGCCTTCTAAAATCAAGCGAAGGAAATGAAAGGAAAGAAAGTAGCGACGAAAAGTGTCTGTGGTTTCCAAAATCTTTGAGGATCGATGACTCGGGAGAAGCAGAAAAAACCTCTTTCTGGACTACACTCGGGATTAAAAACAACAACTCCAGTCCAGTTCCGTCCGGAAGACTCTTTCACACATTCCCTTCAAAGCGTGACGAGAAGAATGACTCAGACCAATCATCTTCAGTCTTGCAAGCCAATCCGGCGGCATTGTCTAGGTCGCATAACTTTCACGAGACTTCGTAACAAGTTCACCTATAAGTATAGGTGATCATGTTTTTCGGTACCTCAATCTGTAAAACCAGTTTTGCTCATCAACCTTGTTTGTTAAAGTTCTTGTTGAATGCCAAATGAAGAAGTTCAAACTGAACAAGAATCAGATTAATTAGTTCATGTACATATATAAGTTTATATAACATAGTGAGTTTTTCTCCCAAGACCTCTTATGTAGATAAATAAGAATAAGAATGAGAGGTTCAACTTGTAATTTTTGTTCTGGTTTCTTTCTTTCAGAATGCAACTTATGTTTTTCATTGACTCAACCAACTTTGGCTTCTAATGGAAAGTTTAGCTATGTATTGATGATTGTAGCTCTATATTTTGAAATTGTTTGGATTAACTTTCATCTTAAATATTGAGTTTGAATTTCATTAAATACTAATAATTTTTGTGTTGCATCAATTTATATAAAATTTTATTCCGATTTTAAATGAGATTTTCTCATGGTAAATAATGATATTGATTTTTCTCAAATTAGTCAATCATTCTGAGTTTTTAAAAAGAACTTATAAAAATTCTTGTTTGAAAGAGTTTATGAAAAATAGTGATATGTAAGGATGCTAGAAAAAAATTTATACTAATATTTGTGGGTAATATTAATTTTTAAAAATAATAAAATATAAAAAAAGGATTTGATATTAAACGATAAGATAATAGGTATCACACTTATCAAAGTTTTTCATGTACAAAAACTCTTATAAATAATTGAAATTTTTTAGACAAACCTAATATTGAAGTAATATGAATGAGTGAAAATTTAGATAGTATTTATAGTTTCCTCTACTATTTTAGGTAAAAGTTCTTTTTAGGGAAAATTAAGGTGATTTTCTTAAAATTTATTAAGATATGACACTCACATCTCTTTTGTTTTTAGAATATACACTTTTTTTATAAACGGTTATTTCAACATAATTATTGGTCTTTTCTCTTTTGTCTAGGTAAAAGTACACAATACACGTGTACGTGTTTCTTCTATAAAGGTAGAGAGATTTAAAGGTCTTAGTAGATTTATAATAATTTAAAGGTGGTTAGAGTTTTTCCACGACGATGAGAAGCCTAATATAGTAGTGTTTCACTGTGGTTTTAGGGATTCTGCTCACATGAGGTGACATACTCTATTGATGGACGGTGTGCTTAGGTATTAGCTTCTGAGGGGTATGATCATATGAGTTATGATCTTGCTAAGCATTATACTTTAGGGTTTAATGAATTGTCCCTTTCCTCTAAGAGAATTGATATTTATAAAGCTCTTTTGAGTCTAGGGTTTGGGGTAACCCTAAGTGGTGGTAATTGCTCCCTTATGGGAGTAGTGGTAGATTTCCCCTTTTTTGACAAACGACTTTACACATCATAGTTGTTGGGGGCGAGACCTTAGATCGTCGCCCATGCGATACCATTCTTTGTGTTTTTGAGACCCTATTTTCGTTCACGATGTGCCCCTCGTCCTAGTAGTGAGTCTCTGGGCCGACAACGATCTTAAAAAAGGGGGCGAATCCTGTGGCTTAGGGAGAGAATTTGTAGTAGGCGAGTACCTCAGCCTGAGACGAGTCCCTCAACTGAAGGCGATCGTATTTATTTGTTCAAGCCCTTAATTTGAGGGATGAGTTACCTGCCAAATGTCTCTTGATTAGCTCAATATGTTAGTATGGAATGTCAATAAATCGCTTAGATTGTCATGCTTACTCTTATTTAATGCAAGAAAGGATGGCTTATTTTCGAGACCGTAAATGCTAATGGCATATGTCAGAAACATGCTGAGTTTTTTCAATAACTATGGTGGGGTACAAATGGTCTTTTATGGTTTCCCCTAAAAAATATTTTCTCTCTCTTTTATTTGTTCTATTTCATCTTCTACCCTTGCAAGTTTACCCAACTCCAGATCTCTACATTCACAACCTTATTCCATATATGAATGTTTCTTTTCTTGCTTTCTGTAGTGAATAGGTTTTGCGAAGATATATTCAAGACGAGTTTTTGGCTAAGTGCGGGGTTCTAGGCTAGTTGCCCCCTTTTTTACGATTACGATGATGTTGGTGATTCTTTTTGCTCTCGTGCTTTCTTAGGAACAAAAGAGAGAATGTCTACCTCCTCCGTTGCATCCAAGGGTGCCAAAGATTTTAAATCTAGTTACACCTCTGAACATATTCACCATTTTCAATCGGGATATGAGGTTTATTCTTCAAAGGATGAAGGCGAAGTTGTTTTGAAAGCTTGCTCGCCGTCAAAGAGGGTGACCATGCATGTCTACTTCGACCCTCCTTCTCTATATATCTATTTCTACCTCCATTTTATCAAGGACATGGGAGTTATTTTCCCACTTACCCCTTTTCCAATGGAGTATTGAGAGTCCTTAATATGGATCCCTCCCAATAGTTCCTCGACAGTTGGGCCTACATCAAGGCTTTCAAGAAGGTCTGCGAGGACATGGTCATCATAATGGCTGAGAGATTATTCTTCTCCTTCTACACTATAATACCAGTGAAGGGTAGTCGGGTGTCCTTGAGTATCTAGTTTGGTAAATGCCTTTTCTCAACCCATTCCAACCATTAAAAATATTGAAATGATATGTTTATTCGTGAGGGGGAGAGATCAATCCCTTGGGGTGCTGGGAACCGATGCCCCCCCCCCCTTTTTCCTTTTTCCTAGATGAGTAATCATGTGGTGATTACAGGGTATGAATGTGAGTTCCTCAACATTGAAGATAGAATGATTTCCCCTGTTTGGGTCAGTTCAAAATTATGGACTGTTGTGAGGTGATTAGACTTTGGTTGGGGGCGAAAGATATCTTGTTGCTTACTTAGGCAAGCCTCAAACTAATTTTTTTTGCAGGTCTTTCGTATCGGATTTGTGACTCTTATAAATTGTTTTGAAAATTAAATGGTGAGGATCTCTGCTAAGGAGAGAAGACATAGACGCGGGAAACTTAAATCTGTTAGCCCGGGTTTCAATAATCCCCAGAGTCACTGTGATACGGTGGGAGAACTGACTTGGGTTTTGCGTTTGTTTTCGCAAATGTTTCGGTTGAGCAAGAGTCGCCACCGACTTTTTATTTTATCCTAAGGAAAGGTTAAAAAGCACAGCAAAAACCTTTGAGATGTTTTCTTGGGTTCGGGGAGTAGATTATAGAAAGGGAAGGTATTAGCACCCTTTCTATCCATGGTTATCCATGGGCTCTTAGTTACTTGCTTAGATCACTTGCCTTGTGTTTTCAATTGTTTGAAATGGTGCTTTGTGTGTGGGTTTGAAAATGTTTTGAAAAGAGGCCAATGTGGTGGCAACCTTTGTAATGATTCATGTTTTGAATGTATACAAAGGTGTATGTCTTTTAAAAAAGTTTTTAATGTTTTTGAAAGTTGTTTTGAAAATGTGTTGTGATGTGTGTTTTGAAAAGTAGGAAAGTGTGTTTTGCAAGTTGGATCAAGTAACTAAGAGTTGTCTACCCCTAAATTTACTCAAAGGCTTTTCCTATGTTTTAACCCTTTTAAAATTTTTGTTCCACCATTGTATTTGGTGGACAATCTTGTGTTAGGATGTGAACGGGACGGGCGCGGGTCATCGTTTAGACCATGATTGCAATATTGCCAAGTGTCTTTGGGCAATTTTTCTTTTAAGGGACTTGATCATTTTTAGGCAACTTTCGAAAGCGTCATCGAGGGACTATGATCATTTGAATTGTTTTTGTTTTGCCAAAGGCACCAAACATGCAACATGGCCCATTATTGAAGGCAACAAGTGGAGTAACCCTAGGGGTGCAAGTGTGATTGGTGTTGTCCATTTTCATGCTTTTTTGTCTTTGAATTAGGTCAAGCTATTTATTATTTGATTTTTGCATACAAAACCCTAAGTCTATCATGGCATATTTAGAAAGCTTTTAAATGCGAAATTAAAAATCCTAAATTATTACAACATAATTATGGGATGGGGGGTACAAATGTTCAAATGGGGATATTTTAGCAAGAAATTTAAATCTAAACTATTACATCTAAATTGAATATACAAATTAATTAATTGCACAATAATTAAATAAAATACAATAAATACGCAAGATGCAAAAGATGATTTTTATATGTATGTAAAAGTATTTTTCATGTGTCAAATAAACAAAAATAAAAAGGATAATTTTTGGATTTTTTCATGGTTTTAGGGCAAAACCCTAATTTGCTAAAAAAAGGAATTTATTATATATTATATACAATATTTATTAATTATGTACAAAAAAAATAAATAAAAATGAAGTATATTGTAAAAAAAGTATTTTTGAGGTTAAATATTAAGAAAAATAAAAAAATGTATTATTTTGTATTTTTATCCTAAATATTCTAATAAATATATAAGTATTTATATTATTTACTAAATATATTAAATATGTACAAAAATAAAATATTTATTATTTACAAAAAAAAAGTAAATTTTTAGAAAATGTTTTCAAAAGATAAAATAAAATAAAATTAAAAAACAAAATGTGTTTGTATTATTTGTATTTTAAATAAAAGGATATATATGTTATTTATATGTATAAATTCAAATAAAACAAATAAAAATCCTAATAAAATGCAAAAATAGCTGAAAAATATTTTTAATATTTTTTTATACTTTAACAAAAAATAAGAAGTCAGAAACAAAAAGAAAAAGTCAAAAAATGATAAAAATAAACACAATGGGCCAAGGGGGTGTATGTGTGAAATAGTGGTGCAAGAAGGAAAATGAATCAGGCCCAGCCCAAAGAACAAGCTTCTTCAACCTCCAGCCATCCCTGTTCTAAAAAACGCGCGCTTCTTTGCCTTGTTCAAACATCCTGATTCTTTGAGTTTTAGCACAAACTTATAACACCAAAAATGTAAAGCATCAAATCACGAATCCATACATACCAAGAACTTGATCTAACTCTCAGAAATGAGAGAGAATTTCTTCTCCCCCAATTCCTGACCTAACTTTTTTCTAATGTTCAGGTTCCAAATTCTTTTAAC